AGAGAGAGAGAGAGAGAGAGAGACCACGGAGGAGAGATTTTCTAAACCCCATTGAATCCAGAGGAGGGGAGAGAGAGAGAGAGAGAGAGAGAGAGAGAGAGAGAGAAAGAGGGAGTGTGTGCACGGAGGGGAGATTTTCTAAACCCCATTGAATCCAAAGGAGGGGAGAGAGAGAGAGAGAAAGAGAGAGAGAGAGAGAGAGAAAGAGGGAGTGTGTGCACGGAGGGGGGATTTTCTAAACCCATTGAATCCAGAGGAGGGGGGAGAGAGAGAGAGAGAAAGAGGGAGTTTATGCACAGAGGGGAGATTTTCTAAACCCCATTGAATCCAGAGGAGGGGAGAGAGAGAGAGAGAGAGAGAGAGAAAGATATCACATATCATCTGGGGTTCACAAATTATATTATACTATTATGTCTTTTATGGTGTAACACATTGTATAAATTACCCTGTGAGTTTATGCTTTCAGTCTTTTCCTATGATTCCAATATTTTTGTCATATATTTAGATGCAACTAATTTACATTTATGGATGTATGTGGGTTATTCCAAAATGTCTTTTATCAGTAAATGCCCCACCTCACTCATGGAAAGTTCTTTCAGACAAGATATTAACAAATATATTTGAAAACTGATCAGGTCAAACTGACCAGGGCTGTTTCACTCAGATGATAAGTAGTGATTATTACTAAACCTCTGCAAATATACAGTCAACCTTCAACAATTTTCCTGTTTGTTTGTTTTTTAAATCTATATATTGATTTCTTTCCAGACTGAAAACTTTTGTCATCTAATATGGAGCAAGACTGACAACTGAGAGTAATGCTAAAATCAAAACCAGTCACATAATTCTTGTTAAGAGAAGATGCAAGAAATAGGACTTAGACTTATATACCACTTTATAGCCCTCTCTAAGCTGTTTACAGAGTCAGCATATTGCCCCCAACAATCTGGGTCCTCATTTTACTGACCTCGGAAGGATGGAAGGCTGAGTCAACTTTGAGCTGGTGAGATTTGAATTGCCAAATTCCAGTCAGCTGGCAGTCAGCAGAAGTAGCCTGCAGTACTGCACTCTAACCACTGTGCCACTGTGGCTCATAACTAATACTATAACAGCATTAAATACAGATGTAATATAGTGAAAATTAGTTATGAAGAATAGTTTTCCAGATATGGGCAAACTTTGGGGGTTAGTGGGTACTATACACAGGTAGTCTGCAGTTTACAATAATTTATTTAGTGACAATTCAAAATTACAATGGTCCTGAAAAAAATGATTTATGACAGTTTTTCACACTTACAGCGTCCCCCTGGTTATGTGATCAACCCTTTGGGTGCTTGGTACTGGCATGTATTTATGACAGTTGCACTGTCCTGGACTCATGTGATCACAATTTATAACCTTCCCAGCTGGTTTTCAACAAAGTCAATGGGGGAAGCCAGGTTCACTTAACAGCCCATGATTCAGTTAAGAACAGTGACAAAAAGTTGGAAAATGGGGCAAACCTCACTTAACAACTGCCTTGATTACAAATAGAAATGTGTTCATTTGTGATTGTAAGTCAAGGACTGCATATGTAGAGATTACATCATGCTTTGTGCTTTCTGAAAAGAAGCGCTATAACTAAGAACGCTATGATCAGCATGGTCAGATTGATAACACTGTTTGTCTAAAAGTAAATTATTGAAAATGAACTGTCTATCACTTTGTTTGCAGCAGAGACTAAAAGGAAACATATGAATAGAAGTAATTTCTCCATAATTGCCTAGAGCATTAGCAATGAACATTTATTTAACACACAAAATAATATTACTACAATGAATTGTATTAATTTCAGTTAATGGCCATCTCCCCCCCCCCCCCATTATTTATCCATGTATTTAAGAGACTAGGAAGGTCCTTTGTATCTCACTTGTAGTCTTAGCCTAAAGGATTTTTGGCTCCGTTTTCTTTTCTTAGGGAAGTATGACTGGCTTCCTGACTGTCCTGTTTAGAGGAAAATATTTAACCAGGTCAAAATATGCTATCCAACAATAACTGGACAGCATATGAGATATTTTTCTAAATTGTTCTATATATAAATTATGTGTTATTGCTTTTATAATTTTAAATTCGTATTTTTCATTGTCATATTGTTTACTTCTATGATCTTAGAATTAAATACTATGATAATAGATAAAAATATTAAATGAAAATCTTGGATTCTATTTCAAGATATAAGTTAGCAGTAACACTAAGATTAGAGCTTTAATTCATACTGAAGAATGAAAACAAGGCTGTTTATTTTATCAGGGCAATGCTAAAGCCCCAAAGGCACTTGCAACAGCTTAAAATTGGTTTATTAGTTTATAGCTGTTCCACAATTTGCTGCTCAATGTTGATGCTTAATGCTTGAAGTGATATAATAGAAAATTGTGGGGAGGAAATAATATTATATGTATTAAATCAAATTGAATTTAAATCATATTTACTTTTTATTCTGAGATCTGGTCACATTTTGGAACATGGTCCTATCCTTGGACTGATATGATTAAACAGAAGCTCTTTCTCTCTCTGTTCAAAACTTTTAATATTTGTTTTGCTAAGCAAAGAAATCTTATGATATCAATGACTTCATTTGTTGTAAGGACTTAACAACTGCATAAAACTCAGAAGAAAAATTTAATCTTTTATGGGACTAGCAGAAAACTATTTAAGAAAGAACTATTCAAAAATGGTGATGGTCAGTTTACTTGTGAAAGCTCTTTGTTTTGATATGTAAATAGACAAACCAATCTATATATATTAAAGTGAAATACACTCATGCATCATCAAGAAATCTCCAGAATCATAAAGCCTTAAAAATTTGAAATTTGGCACATATGTTGCTCTTGGCCTCTAGGTGCTTGCTAAGAAAGGATTTTTTGAAATGACCATCAGATCATTAGTATTTCTTATATTATTATTAACACACTCTATTAATAATAGCCAGCCAGAGGGAGAGAAGGGGGTTAGGAGAGGAGAGGCTTCTCTGGGGGCAAGCCTGAGGAAGAGAAGGGGAGAGGAGAGGCCAATCGTAACTATTCATTAATGTTCAAGCTTTAACTGTCAATTTATCAAGCCCAATCACAGAGTTCCGTATCGAAGCATGGGTATCCAACTGACTAATTCAACAATAAAGGTAAAATACTTCATTTACTGTAACATTCCCTTCAGTTATAACACTGATGGTATGTATTTCTGCCATGGATGTGGCTGATAAAGTTTCAGTTATAATGAAGAAATTACTATAAATACTCCTGTGTAAAAGAATACAGGTAATCCTTGACTTATGACCAGGTACTTAACAAATGTTCAGTTACAATGCGCTTGAAAAAAAAAATTAACAATCTGTCCCTAAAGTTATGACTGCTGTACCACCTTTGTAGTCATGTGATTACATTTTGGTTGCTTGGCAACCAGCTTGCATTTACAATTGGTTGCAGCTTACTGCAATCATGGTGATCACTTGTTATGATATTTTTTGCCATTTTCCAGCAAAAAAAAATGCCCATTTGACAAAGCAGATTCACATTTATGAGCAGGTGTTTCTCTTAACAGCTGGAGTAATTCACTTAATGTCATAAAAAACTGTTTTGGATTGAGCCTGGTCATGTGGTCTCTTGACTTAGAATTGCAAAACCTTATGACTGAAATTCTGATTCAATTGTAGTTGTAAGTTGAGGACTATTTGTATCCTAAAAACTCACAGAAATCATTTTCTTTATTAATGATAATTATTTCAAACAATCCATCATGCTTCTAGCATTTTTTTGAAAAAGACATCCTGAAATTGTTAGCCCTTCAAAAACAGATTGGTGAAGATTTTATTCATAGAATTTAGAAGCTGTTGTGAGAGACTGGCTAAGCCAAGGGGAGGAATCAAATGGGGAATTAGTCTGGAATCCCTAATCAAAGTCAGACTCCCTTTCAATGCCATTAAATCGTATCTAGTTTTATCCAAGTGCAAACTGTCAGTGAAGATTCCCGTGTATAGGCTTGAGAACACCCCCACCCCCCCCAACTGAACTCTTCATGTGTGGATCTAATTGTTCCTGCCACTGTCCACTGTCTCTTTTTGGAGAAGTTACCCTGACATCAAAAATCAGGTCAAGCTGTTAATATTTGACAGGATATGACTGTTATCCAATATTGTTGTTTGCCTTGCAGCTGGAAATCCACTTTCAGACCAAACTCCAGACACGGTTCAGAAATAGCTCAACAGGTCACAGACATGGAACGTTCCATACTTACAACCCATTAGGCAACTCAATTAGGCATCCAGAAACACTGGCACCCACTCCACAACCCTTCTTCACAACACATTAAGGATAGTGGAAATGTTTCTCCTGCTGTCAAGCCATATATTCTAGCGGGGTAAAAAAATTGGAGCTGGAAAACCCACCCATCATTGTCCTAACCTAATCTTACATTTGGACAGTAAAGACAGCAGCACTAGTCAGCTGCATAAGGATCAGCATAGCAAGTTGCACCCAAAAAACTTTTCTTCCAGCTTTGACAAAACTGGAGAATTGCACTGGCGACGCCCTTAGGAGCCACTGCTGCCGAACGGCTATTTAGGCACGAAAGCCCTAAATAAGAGTGAGTTAAGGTGAGTTGACAGGAGAGTTTTACCATTCAGATCTTGCCTTTTAATTACTTATCGGATCTCTGTTACATTGCGCTATCCGCCTTTATTTATATAGATCCACCGTCCCGTCATACTTTGCGAGCCAATTCAACACACTTAAGAGTGTACTTTTTTCCGCGCGCTCCCGCTCCCCCTCAGGCGATCCTTTTCTCTCGGTCCCGCCTTCTTCGTTCCATAAGCCCCGCCTCCTCGGAGTTGGCCTCTCTCCCCGCCCCTCGAGTTTCCTCGCGCGTCGGCAGCCCCTCCTCTCGCGATACGTGGCCGAGGTGGGGGGCTTGTCGCAGTGTCTAGCGTGCTTGCCGCTGACAAGGGCGCGGAGCGATGCCTGCCTGGCAGCTAAACGGGGAGAGAGGAGCTTCCCGGGATCGTTTCCCCCTCCCTCCGCGACCATGGCGGGCTGTTTAGCGCGCGAGCCCCTGCGCTGAGAAGTTGTCGCTGCCCTCCCCGTCATGAAGAAGGGTCGCCCTCGGGGAGAAAAAGCGGGGCCCTCGGGGCTCTCAGTTCCCCGGAACCTGGAGCAGCCCACCCGGGTCCCCTTAGATGCTTCAAAGAGGAGAGCCTATGCGGCGGCGGCAGGGGGCAGTGCGAGAGAAGCGGAAGAAGCGGGTCCAGGCAGCGCCGCCTGTAGGGAGCCGTCAGAAAAGGTACTACTGCGGCGGCTGGAGGGTCTTTGGGTCGGCGGATCTGCCTTGTCGGGGGGGGGGGGCGTCGGTACAGCCAGGGGATCAAGATCGTGGGGGTTGATTATGGAGGCTTTACTTTGGAGGAGGGGAGAGATTTCTAGGGGTACCGTGATTGCTGATTGGAGTCATCCAATGTGGACAGCCGGATGCTCCTCAGTCATTGCAAGGGGAGACGCTGGGTGGGTGGAAGGGGACCGTTGTGGTGGAGATGCTCTTCCAGGGATGCCGAAAGAGGCTTCCTCTGCGGTCAGAAAACTCGTGGAAACTTCTGCTTGCCTCTTATGAAGCCACTTATGAAGTAACACTACCCATCCTTTTAGGCTACGGTAATTGCTGTAGTAGAGGATGTTCACATTGGATCCCTTAGGGTGGGGACATGCCTTGCAGGGTGATCCCTGTAACCTGCAAATGGCTCTGTGGTGGGTAGATCTTGGGTGTTCAGATATTTGGCCCAGATCAAAGAACATCCCAGTTAAGGGACAGGTAAGCACATATTTTGGTATAGATTAGTAGTGCTTCTGTTTGGTACTCTTTATTATTACAGGGTGGGGCATAACCTTTTCCTAGGGGGTCACAGCAAGATCGACAGCAGTTTACAACTTCCGCGACACCTCATTTTAA